AGCTGGAGGACTACAGTTGTAATCCTGTTATACACGCTTCACATCCGCCATCTTAATTAACAGCATAGATCAAATAAGACCAATTCTCTATTAGCACTACATAGATTTTATTTTGTTTAAATTGGTTCAACAGTTAATGAGGTCAGTCTCGTTTAATTAAGAGCATGTTATGTTTGACTCCAGACTTAAATTTGTCAAGGGTATATGGGAAAGTATTACAGAACAAATATAATTAATGATATCAACATGTACATAATCATGGTAATGGACAGGTAGGTCAAAATAACCATGTTACAATTCATAAGAAACCGCTACACACCAAACTCCAGCTTTAATACAGCATACAACATATTACAAACATCATTCAGACCACAATATGTAATACAAATAATACTTGAACTCAAGGGATAACGCTCTGCGAAAAATTAATTAGTTGGTGATGCTATTTAACAGTTGTAATATGCTGTGCATTTTGATCCTTTGTGCAAAACGTAAAGTTGGCCGAAAATCAACTGTTAACCTGTCATCTGAGATATTTTTATCACATGGAAGTAATTACCACCATTAGCTTATGCCCAGTTCAGGAACGTTAGTGTTCTACGAGCAGCCTAATGGCTGCCTGATGTAGGAAATGTGCTGTATATGGGGGCTGGATTAGTTTACTGCATCTAATGGTCCATTACTGTTGTCCTTTGCCTCTTGCACTGATGGGTCAGAGAACAACAACTGTAAAATAATAGTACTGCCCAATGATCCTTAGTAAATATCTGGAAATATTATCTTCTTCAGCAGGCGTGTTAGGTGGGAAGTGGGATGCTGCTATAATTTATGTTAATGGGCGCTAAGAAAGTTCAAGATTGATTCAAAATTGGGCAAAACTTATTAAATTAATTTTAGCATAATATTTAAACTAGGCAGTATGGGTAAAGGCGAATGATTTGGCTTGTAGCTCAACATAAAAACTTCTTTATTAACTTATTCTTGAGTTATCTATGGGTAGCACGTATTATTAGTGGCTTCAATGTCATAACAAAATAAGTCTGAAAAAAATAATCAATAAGTTAGCAGCACCATTAACGTATAGTCAAGATTAGTTAATGGTTGGAGGGTAGAAATACCATATTACGAGAGTACGTGAGAGAGGTCGTCAGGATGAACATGTCTTGAGTACAATATCAAGTCATATATACATATATTTATGTATGAAACGTCTTTACGAAGGTACAAAACATTATTTTCATTATGACATAATCTCTGGTAAAATTATGTTTTAACAAATGAACTAACAAAATCAAGTTATGAAAACAAACAACCTTAGTTTTCTGCATTTTCCTCACAAGTGCCTTAAAAGTAGGGTTTGTTATTTTTTACCAGTAAATCCTATTTTCCACTTTTCTTTGAAACATAATACATAGAGATAAGTCCCTCTGCAGATGTGTGTATGTGTTGGATAGCACAGTGGCCTTTAGTATTGTTTTTTCTCACTCGGTTACATGTCGTAGTTTAATAAAATTGTTCTGATTTGTTGATATTCGTTTGTCACGGGGTTATTGTTTTATTATTCATATTATTGTTTAATGATATGGGTTATGGTTTGTTAAAACCAATATCTTATTTGTTAACATGAGTTGTGGTTTGACAATGTTTCTTGGTAACATGAAATAGCCTAAGTTACTCTATCCGTTTGAGATTATCTTATTTTCTCAATAAACGTATTTGAACTTGAATGGCCTGATTTGTTAACGTGGGTTGTAAGCAGTAAACATTCTTAATGTTTATAAGGTGTGTTGATATTAATTGTGGTTAATGAACATGGGTTTAGATTTCCATATGAAGTAATGCATTGACATTAGTTAAAATTTGATAGACTTTAAATGGAGTTAAATGACCAGTCATGGGTTTGCTACCTGTATAGAGATATCATAACAATAATTATAAACACAAAATAATGAATTAAACTTTCCCATGACGTTACCAGATTTAGAATAACCTGAAATAATGAATTATCTAAGCTTTCTCGCAGCTGCTCTTTGACTCATAGATGAGCAAGTTTGTCTTTTACATATATATTTTTTAGACAGGTATTGATTAGTGAAATATATGACACTGGAGCAGAAGACAAAGAATCATGGAAGCGAAACTTAACAAAAACGAAATATAAATTAAAGAACACTGGGAAATTTAACAAAATAGGAAGCGATTTAGAAAGACAGAAAGATACACAAATTGACAGAAAAAGAGCAAAGAAAGGCAGATAGAGGCCCAAAAGGCAGGGAGAGATCATAGAAGGTAATTAGAGGTTAAGAATGGGAAGGATAGGTAAATAAAAATAGACAAATAAAACTATGACGTCAAGAAAAGCAGAGAAGGGGAAAAGACAAGGAAGCCAACAATGCAGGAACAGGTCTAGGCACAGAGAGGCCAATGAAAGACAGAGAAAGACAATTTCAGGAATATATGATGAGAGGTGGAAAGAGACCAAAGAGGTGATAAGATAGTAAGAGATCAAGAAAGCCATAAAGGAGTAAAGAATGACATGAAGAAGTCTTGGAAGACGTAACACAGTCGCAGTATATATCAGAAAAGAACAAATACAAATAAAAAAGAAACTGATAGCATTAGACACCATAGCATTAGGAATAATAAGGAGCAAGAAAAGTTAGAAGCAAGTATTTTGTTAAATTTTAATCGTGTCTTTTTGAGCCAAAAAGGATAATATAATATTAATAAATAAATAAATAGCCAGTGATTTTAATATACCATTTAGTGCACTGGTTCCCAATCTTCTACGTCTTATACCCCACTTTTTATCCACGTTTTCATATGTGGACCAATAGAACCACATTCCCACCTGTGGACCAATAGAACCACATTCCCACCTGTGGACCAATAGAACCACATTCCCACCTGTGGACCAATAGAACCACATTCCCACCTGTGGACCAATAGAACCACATTCCCACCTGTGGACCAATAGAACCACATTCCCACCTGTGGACCAATAGAACCATATTCCACCCTGTGGACCATAGAACCACATTCCCACCTGTGGACCAATACAACCACATTCCCACCTGTGGACCAATAGAACCACATTCCCACCTGTGGACCAATAGAACCACATTCCCACCTGTGGACCAATAGAACCACATTCCCACCTGTGGATCAAAGCAACAAAATAGAACCGAGCCACCCACATTTACAGTAGCCAATAGTGTACCAAATACACATTCATGTTACGAGCCCTTCATTGTTAACCACAGTTAAAACTGTGTGTAAATGATAACGAGAGGCAGTTCAACATACCCATAATTGGGTCTTATTTGGTTAAGAGTTCTAAGCTGCCAGCCTTAATATCAGGCCCATGGCCCCTCCGAAATTATAACATGGACTTATAATGGGTTGGACGGTAGAGCGACGGTCTCGCTTCATGCAGATCGGCGTTCAATCCCCGACCGTCCAAGTGGTTGGGTACCATTCCATTCCTTTCCTCTATCCCATCCAATGTTACTACACCATACTAATAATATGTAGTAAGCATGTTACTAGCATTAGATAAAGTTCATTCCTAGAGTAAACAAATAATAAACGTATCAAATAAATGTTTCTAGAGTCAGCCTTTAGTTGAGTTGATTATGAATAAGAATTCCTAGCTATAATTTTCACTGGGAACATCAGCACCATCCCTATTGAAACCAAAAATGAGAGAGAGAGAGAGAGAGAGAGAGAGAGAGAGAGAGAGAGAGAGAGAGAGAGAGAGAGAGAGAGAGAGAGAGAGAGAGAGAGAGAGAGAGAGAGAGAGAGAGATAGAGAGAGAGAGAGAGAGAGAGAGAGAGAGAGAGAGAGAGAGAGAGAGAGAGAGAGAGAGAGGAGAGAAGAGAGAGGAGAGAGAGAGAGAGATAGAGAGAGAGAGAGAGAGAGAGATAGAGAGAGAAGATAGAGAGAGAGAGAGAGAGAGAGAGAGAGAGAGAGAGAGAGAGAGAGAGAGAGAGAGAGAGAGAGAGAGAGAGAGAGAGAGAGAGAGAGAGAGAATAGATTGGGAGTCAGTGCATTAGATATCCGACTGTTAGAAATGCGGATGCTGACAGCTGGATCCAACAGACACAAAGAGTCAAAACACTTATTGAGACGCACACGCACCTTTCTTAAAAAAAAGTCAGCATTTGATTTTCATTTTAAGATAGTCAGTTGTGAAGTTATAATAAGAAAGTTTTATAGATGAAAATAAACAAAGAATAGGGGTTGGGATTTAGGAATGTTTCTGAACTGAGTAGAGTAGCATTTTGCTGTGGACACAGGGTGGAGAGTATACAATGTGGACACACAATATTCCATTCAAATTTCTTTTGGGTCAGACATGTAGACTGGCATCTGTTTCAACTTGATATTTTACTATATTTTTGTTAGCTGTCATCTTGCTGTTTTCATACCTTGACCAAACATAACATTTTAGACACGTGTATTTTCTCTAGTATCTTAATAAAATTACATATTTGAATATAAGGCTTGACCGAGGGAAGAACAAGCTTGGTTTTAGTGAACACAAACTAAAAAAAAAATATATATGCATTACAGTATTTAATAAAACTATAAAATATGTTATTTCTCATTCCTAAGTTTATAATTAAGTCATGGAAGACCATCATTTACAAGAAGCAGTAAATGTCTGGGGGGCTTCTAACTGCCACATTAGGCCGAACCTCTAAGTGTGCATATGCAAATTGCAAACATAGTATTGTTAGTACTGTAACTAGATCAAGCAAACACAATTCTCTGCAGCAATTTTCTTATAAGAATTAGATAATGTAGGGTGTGAAACTACAGATTTAGAGGCTGAGATCTTTCTTCCATTATTTCATGGTCACTCGAATTATGTACTCTATATTATTTAATAATTGCCCTAATGAATAACATATTACGTATAATTTCTTAAAACTAGTCCCAGGCCGGCTGGAACATCCGTTAAGCTGTGGATATTTGAGGATGATTTAAACTAGAAGACTGCATCACACTCCATTAACATTACAAATCATGTAGATCATGGGTAAATATTTACATCATTTGGACTGGTGAAGCCGTGCCACACGGCAGGGGTTAAGACTCGGCTCTACTGCTGGGTAGAACTCGTGACAAGATATATAATATGTCTTCTCACTTTGGTACAATCTGTGACTCCTCTTCTCTCATAATTAACAAGTGTCATTATAGCTTTAGTCAACCAACATAGATTAGTTTATAGTACAAAGTGGATGGAAATGACTCAGTTATGGTGAGTATTGTGAACAGGTTGGGAGGAGAGAGATAACAGTATTGCCCAGATGACAGTATTGTCCAGTCAAATACATTAAAAACTTTAGTCCAGTTGGCCTATGCCCAACCATAACTTTCCCAACATAATGCAGATTTCTTTTGAGTATTTGGAGAATCAACACATTATTATTTTGAGATCTCTTTTTTTTTGTGTGTGATCGTCAAATATGTTTTATTATTCTAATATGTAACGAGACTCGTGGTTGGCGTATTAACCATCAACAAAAAGTTTTTAATAATATAGTTGATGGTCGCCCAAGTGTTCGGGACATTAACCATCAAAAATAGGGTTTTAATAATATGGTTGATGGTCACCTTGGGCGACAATTGGTCAATAATGCAACATGCATTACAAATACCCTGACTAAAAAGCTACATCAAACTTGGTAGCCACACAATGAATGGCATAAATGTGGAATGTTGCACAACATGACTTAACACATCATAGCTTCCTGTGCTTGACGCAATATTCCACAAAATGGTTCAGCTTCGGATCCCTCAAGTTTCTTGAATATGACTTTAAAGCTATCACAAAGCAGAATATACTTTGCAGAAATCTGAAACAAATTAACTTTTATACCATACAAAAGTTTGTAGTAAAACATGAAGCATATAAGCTTGTTTAAGGGCAAGCTTCTGACAGTTATTGCACACACTCCCTAATATTATTTGTTGAAACAACTGGCATATTTAACTCCAGCCATAAACGAACTCTTACTTCTCCTTAAAGAGAAGTGTGTGTGTGTTCGCTTCTAATTTTAATTTGTAATGCAGTTTTGTATAACGGTATTGACAAGATGAGAAAAATAAAGATGTTGTTAATTTGGTTTGGTTATCATGATCATAACAACATTTCAATGTCAGTAACTGTACATCCCATGATTGATGAAGCTTTCATGGCAGAATCTCGATACTGATAACAGGCTATCATATAATGTACATTATACAACTAACAATTTGGGGCTATGTTTACATTCGGCAAGAGCCGTCATAACACTATTGTTGGAACTATCTGCTGTGTCTGCATGTTTAGGTTTAAATCGTGTGAGTACAGGTGCTCTCAGCAGTTTAGAATGATAACATAAACAGTATGCGCAACGCGCAACATTACAACTACCATTTAATTCTGAAAATTCATGATAGGTACATTTACTGACTAGCCCAAATGCTTCTCTCCAGAGCAAACTCTACACAGTAAACAGGTACAGTCTTCTATAACCACACAACACACCTTAAGAAACTCTTAGTTGCTCTCTCTCAACTCTTAAAGTTAAGCATCACTTACAGTATTTTGATTTATAAACAAAGTATTTAAATAAACACTAATCTGCCAATTTCCTTAATATCATTGACAAAAATATCAAAATTTCTTTGCACCAGTTTAATAAATTTCCCACAAAAATATAAATTGCAATATTTTTGCTCAAGTTAGAATTTTTTTTAACATACTGTACTATATTAGCATTTTAATGAAGAAATCCAAACAAAAATAACCGGGTGGACTCCAGAAGCAATCTCGTCTCGCCAGTCTTGCCAGAGAGAGAAGCTGAGAAACCCAACATGAGAATGAAGTATGACAAGATCATCATTGTCGCTTCTTTAAACACACACATGATGACATCCACAGGAATAACTCTTGAGGGTGTTCTTCACATGGGCGTGATGAACACCCGGGTGAACATCCCCACCTCAGAACATATAACACAGGTGGCTGGTGTGAGAACCAGGGATATTTTGGATAACGTTTTTATAATGGGTATCTGTGACAATTTTGAGGGCTAGAATAGTCATCACTTGATACCGATTGTACTTTGTCTGAAGACAGAATGTGTAAATAGGTAACTAGAAGAATTATGGCTTAACTACGTACCTGAAAGACATTCATCAAGTACAGTAGTTCTTGAGTGAATTGCTTCAAAAGCCAAGATATTGTAGGATTGTTGTAGGATTATTGTAGACGCGTCCTCCGCTTCACTCCACACTTACATGCTCTTACAATCAAATAAATGGTAATAAGTACATAAAATGGAATATCTTCTTCTCAGATTTGAGTGGTTCATGCATTATTTTTTTTCTGTGAAATGAAATGTTGTAGCATTTATATTTACAAATCATTGTCAACCGTCTTTATCAGACTTTTGCGTCTGATCCTTTTCATTTATCATTGTTCATACAATGTGTTTTTTCTGTGTACATATATACACAATTCTGTATTTATGATAAAATCTATCACATTTAAATATAAATTAGGCTTACTATGCTGTGCAAATATATTTTATGTTTTGTTTTCAGTTTACATAGACAATTGGTACAGGGGGGCAAGTTTATGTACGAATTGTACCTCTCATCCACATTATCACAACACTGATAACGAATTACTACACCAGTAATTCAATGATTGGCTGCCAATTCAAGACAACAATATCTGTCTTTACACCCGTTTCCTGTGTGATGGGTTGGGGGGAGAACGACCTACTTTCTTGACGTGTTAACCCGTTTTCTTTTGAAGGGTGGAGACGAATTTGGCTTAAGTGCACCCTTTGCTTAACATTTTTGACCCGTTTTCTGTGACTGCGAGTCCTAATACTGTAGTGTGTGAGTGCGTGTGTGTGTTTGCGTGTGTTTGCGTGCGTGTGTGTGTGTGTGTGTGTGTGTAGCTACTCAATAATGAGGCACTTGGGGAGGTGGAGGTGAAGGTGGTGGTGGAGTTCTGGCGTGGCTCCAGGACAGTTGGTCAGCTCCAGCTCCTGCAGATGGCGCAGCTGGACCAGCGAGGACAGGCCTGCTGACGTCACCAGCGAACAACCTGCCGATTGAAACGACTTATTTCCCCCTGACAGCAAGTAGGCCTATATTGTCGCAGCAACTATAAACCTACTTGAAAAATATCGCACGATAACATTTAAATTCAAATCCAACTGGAAATTTCTTGTAGTCCAAAGAGGCTACTTGTAAAAACAATAAAATAATAACATTTATCCAGCTACAAAAAGAATGCAGAAAATACACCAAGTTGAAATTGATCTATATCTTTTAATTTACATCTTTTAACTAATACAATTATATGAGAAATAATATAATAATATTTCCAGCATAAATTGGGGGTTAAATTTTATGTAGACACAACGTGAGATTGATATATAACTCTATCTATAAATTTCACAACTATAGAGTTTCACTTCAAGTCTATGCCTAATGAGATCAATTAATATTATATTTTTACTGTCATGGGCAGTTCATTTCTCAGTTATTAGGCGACAAAATTGAAGCCTCATCTCATACATTTTTTTTACCACTATGTGATAAAATTACCAGATGCCCATAGCTGGCTATATCTCCTATAATGGCTATAGTGAATGATATCCCCTATAATACCTGTAGTGATCTATATGCCCCTATAATGCCTGTAGTGAAGTATACCCCCTATAAAGGCTATTATGATCTATATCCCACTTATAATGCCTGTAGTGCAGTATATCCCCTATAATCCCTGTAGTGAAGTATATCCCCTAAAATGCCTGTAGTGAAGTACATCCCCTATAATGCCTGTAGTGAAGTATATCCCCTATAATGCCTGCAGTGAAGTACATCCCTTATAATGACTATAGTGAAGTATATCCACTATAATACCTGCAGTGAAGTACATCCCTTATAATGACTATAGTGAAGTATATCCACTATAATGCCTGTAGTGAAGTACATCCCTTATAATGACTATAGTGAAGTATATCCACTATAATGCCTGTAGTTGATCTATATCCTCCTATAATGCTTGTAGTGACCTGTACCCCCCCCCCCCTCCACCATTGTCTGTAGTGGAGGCTGGTGTGGCGCCCAAGAGACTCACCAGCCAGGGAGAGGACCTGGATATTCCTCATGGAACACAGGTGCTGGACGCCGAAGTCTCTGACCTGCGAACACCACCGGAGGAAGAGCGCGGAGAGTGAGAGCATGGTGGAGATGTAGCCCACTCCGATGTCTGTTATGTGCACGCATCTGCCGATAACAACAGCTCTTAATACACCTGTTTAATGACATATATGGGGTAAATAATAACGTATGCATATATGGTATTCCCCCTTAGAGAAGTAACCTGGTGGGAAGACTGCATAACAGTGTTATATGGTGTGAGACCTTGATGGTTTCAGCCCCAGCAGTGATTACTGTGGGGGTTGGTAGGGACCTAAGTGGAACAGGAACAGTCCTACTACCTTAGTACAGTGTTCAGGCTTCACTCCCTCACTTGTTTTCCTTTCTCGTTTACCTCAGCCCTCCCTAATTCTTCCCCATCTCCCCCTTCCCACCCTCCCTGCCTCCTCTCACCTACCTGTCGAGGGTGAGCTCTTCGAGCTGGTTGAGGTCGCAGGCGATGTACTCGAGGGCGGCGTCAGTGATGCGAGGACACCACGAGAGGTCCAGAGAGCGTAGTCGCCTCAGGTTTTCAGCGATGAGCTCCACCCCGTCGTCCGTGATCTTGCTGCAACCACTCAAGCTTAGCACCGTCAGGTTGGGCAGCGAGTGAACTGTGGGAGAAGGCTTAGGCTTAGTCACCCACATAACGGAAGGTGGGTGTATTTTACTACATGGATGAGTGTGGTGAAGGTTAGGTTAGGTTACACCCACCACCAGGCTAGACAACGTCTTAGAGCCACACCACCAAGCTTGTATCAAAACAGCTTGATAAAGTAAAAACAATCATTGCAGAAATGAAATATTAAACCGACAGGCTGTTGGAAAATGAAATAAATAGACGGCCATCGAGCAGACATAATGCGGAAACATACACATAAGATCAATACATTAACGCGAGCAGCACCGATGTCTCGAACCAGGGTCACAACTCCCTCACACCCGGGGTCTCACACTCTGAGTTGAATATTATCTATTTGCAATCGTCCCTTTGCCACCCTTCCCGCCTGGCTGTTCAACCGTGCCACAGACCGTGCGGGAGCTGCAGGAACTTGCCCTTTGGTGTTGCAACTGAGGTCAGCAGTCGTGCACGGGGTCATAATTGATCCTTCATCTTGCATGGTGATATTGTTGACCTCTAAAGACACCATATGTGCCGCCTTGGGAAGATCATTCATCTTGAGGATGAATTTATTAAGATCATTCATCAACACATTGTGGTGCTGTGTCCCTTTTTGGGGTGTACTGAGATGTATACTTTCCCTTCCCAGGATGTGTGTGTGTGTGTGTGTGTGTGTGTGTGTGTATTCTCCCTTCCCAGGGTGTGTGTGGGTATATAGTCCCTTCGTCAGGATATAAACCTTAGTGGCCTCGACGAGGACAGGAAGCCGGCGGCTTGTCAAAGGTCTCCCCCATTTGCCCTAATGATTTTTTTTTCAAGCTGGATTTAAAAGTTCGGGAGAATTTTGGTATTTATGGCTTCGGCGGGTAGGCGGTTCCACGGGTTTAAAACCCTGTGGATGAAAAAGTATATGTCCTGTTTTCAGTTCTACATTGAGGCTTGTTGAGCTTGACACCGTTGCTCCTTGTTTGTGTTACATCTGACCTCTTAAAATAATTGCCAGGATCGAATGCTATGGTCTAGCACACCGGTAATTCATCGCAATACATAGTTTTAAACGAAAAGATGAAACACGACTCAAGAGTGGCTTCATTAAGCTACGAAGAGCTCGAAAGGCGGGGCTTAGGAGCTAGCGTCTGACCCCAGCGTGAATATATATAAGGCGAGTGATAAAGTGAAACTCGCATGGCCGTCACCGTAGACTTTACTCACAGGCGGCCGCCGCCGGCGACACTCTCGCGCTTAATTATACACTGACGCTAAGCTCTCCTCCACCTGTCATGGCTCGCTTGTTTGGTGCGTGAGGCGGGGCGAGGCAGGGCGAGGCAGGGCGAGGCAGGGCGAGGCAGGGCGAGGCAGGGAGAGGCAGGGCTAGGCAGGGACTAACAAGGGGAGGCAGAGCGAGGCAGTGACTAAGAAGGGGAGGCAGCGCAGGAACAATGCATCACCCCAGCTGTTCCTGCGCCGCCTCCTTCACGAAGTTGGCAGAATACCAATGAGTGGAGAGGGAAGGGAGAGATGGACGGGGGAGGGAAGGATGGAGAGAAGGAGAGAGGAAGGGAAGGAGGAAGGGAAGGAAGGTAAAGGGGAATAAGTGAGGGAAGGGGTAAGGTCCAGGGTAGGGAGGAGGCCTGCATCTTCACTCCCACCAACAGTACTCATAACCTCTAATTATAGCAGTTCCGCCTCTCTCTAAGGTTCCAGCTTCCTCTATAATGTTCCAAGCTCCTCTATAATGTTCCAGGCTCCTCTATAATGTTCCAGGCTCCTCTATAATGTTCCAGGCTCCTCTATAATGTTCCAGGCTCCTCTATGATGTCCCAGACTCCCTCTATGATGTTCCAGGCTCCTCTATAATGACCCAGCTCCCTCTATAATAACCTATAATGACCCAGCTCCCTCTACACTGGCTTCAGCCTACCCTGAGAGCCCCGCCCACATTCACAATAGTACCCCCCCCCCGCCCTCCTCAGCGCTGAAGAAAACGGCGTCAGTAAGTGACCGCTGGCTTATATGATTTTACGATCTCTTATATGTAAAGACCGTTATATACATGTTATCCCTTACTGTTATTCTCACTGTGATTATAATTAGTATAATTATTATAATTAAATCTATTATGAATAGTCCTGTTGGTGTTGTTACGAATTATTTGGTTGAAGTTTATATATTGTTTCTGGCTTAACGGTCGCGGCCTGTGAAGGTCAGGTTAGGTCTTGAACACGTGACTCATAGGGGGGGAGGGAATGGTGACTCACAGGGAAGATATAGTGACTCACACAGGGAAGATATAGTGACTCACACAGGGAAGATATAGTGACTCACACAGGGAAGATATAGTGACTCACACAGGGAAGATATAGTGACTCACACAGGGAAGATATTGTGACTCACACAGGGGGAGATATAGTGACTCACACAGGGAAGATATAGTGACTCACACAGGGAATATATAGTGACTCACAGGGAAGATATTGTGACTCACACAGGGAAGATATAGTGACTCACACAGGGAAGATATAGTGACTCACACAGGGAAGATATTGTGACTCACACAGAGAAGATATAGTGACTCACACAGGGAAGATATAGTGACTCACACAGAGAAGATATAGTGACTCACACAGGGAAGATATAGTGACTCACACAGGGAAGATATAGTGACTCACACAGAGAAGATATAGTGACTCACACAGGGGAGATATAGTGACTCACAGGGAAATCTATTTGGAATCAACAACCATGAAATGATTCAAGGCTTAAAAGTAGCTTTGAAATCTAGCAGGACTGAAAGGTTCCCGGTGATGCCTCAATGTTGAGTGGGACCGAGGCCCCGAGTGTGTGTTCCTCCTGCTCCTCCTCCTTCTCCTCCAGCTGCTTCTCTCTCACCCAGTTTTGCTTCTTCCTTTGAAGCTCTTCAAGGTGATGGAGCGGCCTGGTGGCGCCCGACCCTGAGACTCACGATGGCTGCCTCCGCCTACACCCGGGAACTCTGCGCCAGCAGAAAGGTCAAGGTAATTTTCCTTGGCTTAGTTTCCTTGAGAGACTTTTTTGTTTTTTTGCAGGGATATTCCTGAGCGGGCCCTAAGCCTCTGGCTGGCCCACTAAGTGTTGCTTGTTTCTGTTTTACTTGGGCGGAGTATGAGTATTTATGACTCGTATGGTCGCTTCAGTAAGGTTTTCAGAGCAGTTGTTGTTAAACAAGTTGTTAAACACATATGGCAAAATCTTACTGAAGCCTTGAGAGACGAATGGTGTGTGTGTGTATGTATGTGTGTGTGTGTGTGTGTGTGTGTGTGTGTGTGTGTGTGTGTGTGTGTGTGTGCGTGTGTGTGTGTGTGTGTGTGTGGCTCCAGTTTTCTACTAATTACACTTATTCACAACTCTAACACTGAATAGTTTTTTTAAATAGTTTCAAAAGTGTGACTCATTTGTGTCTTTAGATTCCATATACGACCATTCGTTCTCCTGTTCCTAATTTTGAACAATGATTCTTTGCTAATTAACTTAGTATCTTGCATGTCGTTATCATGACATCCTCCTCCCCTGTTTCTCCTCTCCAGCGTGGTGAGGTCCACTTCCCTCAGTTTTCCTTGTAGCTCAGGTCCCCAGCTTAGGAACGAGCCATAGACATTTCCAAGTAAGGGTTCCATGCCGTGGCTGCATACTCAAAAGTGGGTCTCACATACGTTCGGTATAGTACGCTGAAAGCTCGTCTGTCCAAATTTCAAAAGCGGACGTTGTCCAGTGTGGCATATGCTGCTGATGTTATTCTGTTCGTGTGTGGTGTTTACCTTACATGAGGAGTTATATCTACTCCCAGGTCATTACCTATTGCTCCCACACGACATAAGGTAATGAATAGACTCTTGCTATCTCTCGTGTAGCAAGTTAGGTGTTCAACGCACCTGTTGTAGCATAGTCTATGATTCTGCAGAGGGAAGCTTCTTAAGTACTAAGGTTGTTAACTACTAGCCTGTAGTTCAGGGGCCAGGTTCACGAAGGAGTTGTGCAAGCACTTAAGAACCTGTACATCTTTTTTCAATCTTTGGTGGCTTTGTTTACAATTATTAAACAATTAATGAGCTCCGAAGCGCCAGGAGGCTATTTATAACAATAACAACAGTTGATTGGCAAGTTTTCATGCTTGTAAACTCTTTAATAAATGTAACCAAAGCCGTCAAAAATTGAG